CCTTTTATTCCTCATAAAACTAATTAATAATAAAGTAGGAAATTTTCTAAGTCTTTTTTCTGCTTTCTCAGTTTTGGGTAGAACATTTAGAGAGAATTAATCTAGATTAGGGAAATTTTTTTAAAATGGCTATACTGGACCAATTAATGATGAAGATGCAATGAACTTTTCCTAACACATATCATGATGCTTTCCTTCTTTTAATTACCTTATAGTTATCACTTATGGTTTTGCAGACACATGACTTAACAACTTTCCTAAATTACTTGAAAATCCAAGATATGTGGTGCCCAAATGCATACAGACTATGGCCCTTCATATCCAAAATTTCATGAACACTACTTTTTTTTTTTTTAACAGAGCCTTTCTCAAAAAAACATGGAAGCAAACCCTTCCATCTGGAGCACATGAGTTGGCTGGGTTAAAAATTATATTCACAGATCTGAATATAATAATCTGAAAATGAAATCACTATCAAAAAAAAACCCCAAAAACCCTGTGAGATTCATTTTGGTAATACAGTTTACTTATAAGGGCTGAATCAACAACAAAGAAGTTGTGGTCTTATTTTAATGAAACAAAAGCAGAGAAATAAAAAATGCATGCTCTCAAGTTCTTGACTATATGAACTTTCAACATTCCTATTATGTTTTAAAATAGATAGAAATCCTATGAGCATGCAATTATTGCTTTTAAAAGTCTAAAAAGACTAAACTGGAAAACTCATTAGCAGAATCAAATATGATGGTGTGACTGCCCGCCTTGCCTGACCATGCTGTGATATGTCACACAATTCAGCAGAGAGCAGCTGGGTATGTCTAGCACTTCCTTGCCATGGCAGGGGAAGGAACATAGCTGAGTAGCATGCAGGCCAATCAAAATTCATTTAGAAAGTGATTGTACATGTACAACTTGCTTGGGTAACCTGGGTAAAAGTGGTGGCACGAGTCTCTGGCTGGTTAAAAAACACCAGAGCTGCATTCTTGATGTCTCCAGCTTGATTTTACCCCTGTGAGAAGTAAGAATGGTAAGCAGTGAAGGTCACAGTATGATATTGCTAGATTGTGCTTTGGAATTTAACTTCAAATATGATTCTTAAGAGCATTTATTCCATATCCTTTGGGAAGACAATGAAATCTTTTAAGAATTAAATTGTTGGAATCCAGAGTCATATAAAAATTTCAAGAAATCATGATTAAGGGAACTTTAAAAATATAAAAACAAACAAAATTCTGTTTTATCTTGTCACAAGATTTGTACAGTTCTAAGTTATTCTAAAATAAAAAGAACACTATTTTGAAATCCATACCTTCGATTCTCTTACATTTTTTTCCTGCAAATCTTTATATTTGTTTCCACACCAGCCTGTTTATGTCAGTGGTCAATATGAATAGATACAATAGATACATCTATATAATATATATTATATAATATATAATAACAGTAATTATTGTTTTTATCTCTAAAAACTTATAGGGAATCATTTCTCCCCAACTACACTATGACCATATATACTTTATTATTAAAGTGGATGAAAGTAGAGTTTTCAAATACCATCTAAATTAATGATTAATTTACTGCCTCTTAAAACAGAAATGTATTGAAAAGATTTTTCCTTCCTCCTTCTCTTCCTTCTTCCCTTTTTCCTTCCTTCCCTCCCTCCTTCCTTCCTTCCTTCCTTCCTTCCTTCCTTCCTTCCTTCCTTCCTTCCTTCTTTCCTTCCTTCCCTCCTTCCTTCCTTCCTTGCTTCCTTCTTTCCTTCCTTTTGATTGAGACATATATCACTGCTGGGTTTAGCTTGTATGTTTTCTCATTTTTTTCAGCAAAGACAAAGGATATTCTGTGTTCTCCAAAGCATGGTTCAATGTTCTTTTTCTACTTGTGGTCAAAACACTAAGAAGCATAAACCAAAATGTCACTTTATGAATATGTCATTTTCAATTTGTGTATGTGCTGTAGCTACTAAAAAAAAAGAATAACACAGCCACCATAAATGCATATCTGAAATGTGACCTGTGTTTAATGCCAGCAGTTTTCAGAAATTTCTGCTCAAAACTGAGCTTTGCTGGAATTTGTCTAAATCTGCTCTATAATGTTAGAATGTGGTGATTTTTGCTTTTATTTTTTAAAACAGCATACTTTAAAATCTTTCTGTGAGCATATATGAGAATTACCCTATTTTTCAGGATTTTTTGGTACTAATTTTAAAAACCAGCAACATAAAATTTATCGTTGAATTTAATTTACTGCACAAAATAATGTGAAATTGTATCCTAACTTTATAAAAGTATTTAATTTTATATTTACTTTATTTTCCTAGTATTACATTTGTACACTTTAAACAATTTTATTGCATTCTGTAATTAGATCCCATGTATCCAAAATTAGCTTGGAAGAAGATGGAATGCTTATTAAAAAAAGTCAACCAGTAAGGAATTTTTGTTCAGAATAAAATGCTTCCCAAGACTTTATAATGAAGACATTATATCTCATTATTCCAAATTTATTATTTTTTAGCCATTAAAAAGACATGACAATGAGATAGTATTTTTCTAGGCAATCATTTGAAGTATCTGTGGACATTATAGAGTTTCTGAAGTATTCTGGAAACCATCTGTTTGAAGATTTTTAATTTCATAGATCCAATGTGATAAAACCTATGATATTAATGTAGCAAAAGTTTATCTACTTCTTTGGCTTTTCTATCTCTTCTTGATCCCAAGCTAGTCTTCTTCCTGGCCTTCCCTTATTTTGTCTTTATAATAACTTCTTTGGTGAGCTCCTCTATTTTCAGGGAATCAGATAATTATGAAAACTGCATTATTGAAGCTATTTTTAAATCCCAACCTTTCACCCAGACTCAGGTTCCCAACACTGTCCACTTCTACTTCAATACATCTCAATCAAATCTCTCCTCTTCCCACAAAAACTTGGTAACTTTTCTAAAAAGTCCGTTTCAAACAGTGGCATTAAAATTTTTCCAGTTTCCCAGATTCTTTACTAGTTTTATCATAGTGACAATTAGTCTCAGTTCCCATACTTATTACCCTAGCCCAGCGTTTCCTCACCTCATTGCTATCGAATTATTGTTACCACATTCCCCAAGATAAACCTCTTTTATCCCTCACTTTAAACTATTTTACTGATTGATATCAAATACATTTTCCTAAAACATCACTTTTCTGTTGCCTTTCCCCTGCTTCAGAACAAATAGCTCCTTATTGACTACGCAGCCAATTCCAGACTCTTGGACTTACTTCAAAAACTATACAATCTGAAACTGCCTTTTTCATTCAAACCTATTTTTCCACTCTCTTCTCAACCACTAATTTTTTTCATGCTGATTGTTTCACTGCCTCACCTTAATACTAAGTTCACTCTTAACTCTGTCTTTTGTTTAGTAGGTTTCTGCTTTTTGCTTCCTATTCATGTATTTGACCCAAACATTGAGTTGTATTGTAATTTTATCTCTTCCATTTAACGACTTGCTAAATTCTTGCTATTCTCAATACCTATAACCTTACATTCAGTTCTGTAGGATTAAACTTTTTAATACGTCTTTAATGGTTTTGTGATTCATGTTAGCTTCTTCAAAGATGTTGAGACTTCTCTGAAGGGGGTTATGTTATGGAGCTCTCCTTTAACTCTTCCTCACTCTTAGTGTCCAGCTGAGTTCAGAAAAAGTGCTCAATAAATGTTTAATTAACTGGTGTTTCTTCTTAAATAAATCTATATCAGGTGATGAAAAATAAAATTAGAATTAGATTTTTATTTTACCAGAATATGCAATGTATAGATTATAATTGAACTCACTAAGCAGACTTTGAGTTGAATTCAGATAAAGAATCTTTACCTCATTTTGAAATATATTCAAAATATTTTAAAATTTACTGTTATATAATACATCTGGGCAGGTCTGAAGTGCCTGAATAAAAGGACCATGATGCTATGAGTTGTAACATTGTCAACTATTTATTACTTATACAAATTCTGTACATATCGTTATTAAAAATAGATTCCAAATATGCTCACAAAATCAGACATCTTTGGTCTGATTCCTACGGGGTCAATATCTTCAAAATATTCTTCAAAATATCTTCAAAATATATCTTCAATATCTACAAAATCAGACATCTTTGGTCTGATTCCTATGGTGTCAATATCTTCAAACAAAAACATTCTTTTATAACTATGCTAAACTTACTTCCTATTGGTCTATTAGAAATCCACAAATATGTAATAGTAAACATTTTCATCCTGTTCGTCACAACACAAAATTGCAGAATTAATACCATTAAGTTACTGTTATGAGATTCCATGAGTTCTAATCATACAGTAAGAATAATTTTCTTCTTTTAAATAGCTAGTGAAAGTGAGAGCAGCTTTTAAGTCTACAGTTTAACTGTAATCCTCAAGTAGAGCTTTTCTAAGTAGTTCTCAGTATTTTTGAGTTCGTCTGGAAGACCTTATAGATTTGTTTACCCTTCACTGGGCAAAATATAACCAGTGCTACTTGCACTTTCCTTATATGTGTAACACTTTCATGAATGAAAACACGTTGTCTTAGTTAATAAAACTTTCAGAGGTGAACTAAAACTACACAAAACTTTCACATTAGAATAAATCATAGCAAAACAATATATTATAGAAAGTAAGGAGATGATACAATGATCAATAAAATATAGTTCATTGATTTTTCTAGTATAGAATAGACTGCATTAAATAACATCTCTTTTTTCTAAAGCCATATTTTGTTTTTACCAGATTTTCAAACTATCAAGAAGATGAATATACTAATTATTCAGAATGAAGATTTCCAGTAGAAAGCTGGAATTTCTATGAATGAGTTTCTCAATAAAGAATATCTCATACTTTTCTAACATTACCATTTATATGACCTTTAATATAGTTTTAAATAATATAAACACAGTAAAAATACTAAATAACCGTATTTCATGGCTGTCATAGGAAATACAACAAAAGTTTAAAAGCATTCTTACCTCTTTGCTTTCTTCTAGTTCTGACTCACTGCTGAACTCTTCGGTATTTAAGTTTTCAAAGTCAGACTCTCCAACAGCAATTGGCACTGTTACAGTGAGGCTGGGGTTGTTTATGAATGACATATAATCATTTTCGTCAATTACATATTTTTCAACACTGCTTCCAGTACCTACACCACTGGTAGTTCCATTCCCATCTTTAAGGTAATTTAGCTCTTTGCCTATTTCAATTCCCGTATTATTGGACATGCAGCTGTCTATTTTGTTGCCTTCTTGGACTTCTATAACTTTTGGCTTTCTCAAAAAGGCTTTTCGGAAACATTCCCGTATCTTATTTTTCACATAATCAATTCCCTTTTGCATCCTTCCTACTGCAATCTGGAGATTGTTCATTTCATTATCATCATCAGTAGCAGCAAGATTGTCTGAGCTAAATGAACTCAACAGTAAGGCCAGAAAGAGGTTCAGAACCTAAAAGAAAAAAAAGATGGCTACATTGATCTTGAAGTATACATAAATATAACAGCTTAAACAGAAAGCATATAGATCTTTCTTGAATGCCTACTATATTTTTGACACCATGTCTAAATTACGCACACTTCAAAGGATCTAATATCTTCTACCTGCTGTAGGGGCACAAGGTAAAATAAGCAAGCACCTTCTTTTTCTTACTGAGGACAATGTGAAACTTTTGAGATCTAAACCGTATCTATTCAGGGTTGCCAGTGGAAGACAATAATACCATTTTTACGATTTTAGCCAATGAGAAAAAAATAGGTATTTTTATTTTAGTCATTTTGCTTCGTTTTACCAGTTTGATTAGGGAATATTTAGCTTCATGCGTAAATAATAAATTTACTTATTTAATATCCTAGTGACCCATGTTAAAACAATATATTTGAAATATAAATTCCTTTGTCCAATGGCCACAAACTTTTATAATAGCAGAAATTTCTAAATGCAAATTATATAACACATTTCCCATCAGTATGCTTTGCAATTTGTGTGTCCAAATAGTTCAACAGATGGAGAAAAATCTAAAATTATTCCAAGGATAGGCTAGACCCATATAATATAAATTACTTTTCTCTTTACTATTTTTGTGCAGAAAATATGAAGAAATCTTAAATCTCAGAGTATCATTGGGACACATGGGGGAAAACTACCCTATTAACTGACAAAATATGACTAATACAGGAATAATTAATTATAGCTGATGCAGAAGGAAATTTATTTATAGGAATATTTTTAGTTTGACACATGGTTACTGAGTTTCAAAAAAATGTTACATGGTAGGAAGACATGCAAAGCAAGCACTCCAGTTTGCTTTCTTAATTCTGTATTAGATTTTGTTCAAAATCTAGAATTTCCTAATTTACTATTCTGAAAAAATTGTCTGTCTACTGGTATCCCAGAACATTCTTTTAAGCAATCTCATTTTTCCTCTCAAGGGAAAAATCTAGTATGATAGCATAAAAAAAGTGCTTTGTCCATACATGATTGAGAAATTTAAACATTACAACACAAATATACAAATTGTGCTTTTATGTTAATAATTTTAAGTCAGAGCTAAAAGTAAGTCTTTTAAATCTGGTCAGTGTCCATACATATGAGTAACTTAAACTGTAATAATTTATTTTCTTTTAAGAAAGAAAATTCAGGAAAGAATATATTTAGTTCCTTTGAAGTCATTTGGATAATTATAATACATAGCTAAAATATAATGCTCTATTTAATTGAAATTTTTCTTCAAAATTTGGTAATATGCAACTTATGCCTCTGAGTAAGCAAACAGTATGAATTGTGAATGTATAAAGAACAATTTAAATATAGAATAGATAGTTGTATTTTTAGATTTACTGGAGATCATTATCTTATCAAAATAATGTTGGGATAAAATAATTCAGACTATAAAAATATTAGGGTAAAGTTGGTCTTGATAAAAACATTTCTTCGAAGAAAAAAAAACCTAATATTTTTGTCCTTAAAATTTCATATGGCCTCATTTAATCCTCACATCAACCATAAAATTTCAGTTTTGTTATTTCAGTTTCATAGTATGGGAACTTGAGCCTCAGAAAAGCTAAGTAATCTGCCCATGCACAGAGTGCTTGTACTGAGATTTGAGTCTACATCATTGATGATAAACCAGAGATATGTCTACTGTGTCAGGCTACCTTCCTAGCTACTATCTCATCTTGTTCTTAATTACAAACATTTGTACATACTTACCACAAGATTTCCAATGACCATGACCAACATGAAAACAATAAGGCACATGGTTTGGCCAGCGACCTCCATACAGTCCCACATGGTCTCTATCCACTCTCCACACAGCACACGGAACACAATCAGGAAGGAGTGGAAGAAATCATTCATGTGCCAGCGCGGAAGTTGACAGTCACTGGAGATCTTGCAGACACATTCTTTGTAGCTCTTACCAAACAGCTGCATGCCGACCACAGCAAAAATGAAGACAATGATGGCTAACACCAAGGTGAGGTTACCCAGAGCTCCCACAGAATTGCCAATGATCTTAATTAGCATATTCAGGGTGGGCCAGGATTTTGCCAACTTGAAAACTCGAAGCTGTAATCAAGTGAAAAAGAACTCTTAGTAGTAATTACAATATAATTTGAGAAGTCAGTTAGACATTGTTTTATTAGTATGCCATATTGCAAACCCTCCGCTGAGGGGTATAAAATCTCAAACCATACTAAACAAATTTCAGATTTTGAAAAAAAGTGTTAATAATAATGGAATTTTAAATCAAATCATAATATCACTTAAATGCAAAAATTTAAAAAGAAAATGTTTCAGAGGTGATAAATAAAACATTTCTGATTTATCAATAGATTTATGTATGAAAACAAATTAATATCTTGATTGGAAACACCGTGAATTTAGCAAATTAATGTCACCTTCAGACTATATTTTAGAGTAAGAAGAAATATTAAAAGCAGGCATTATATATTTTAATGCACACATTTAAAATAAAAGTAAAATAAACTAATTTGATTAAAAATTTACAGGCGGCTTATTTTCAATTGGAAAAAAATGCACATTTTACTTAATTTCCCAAAAAATGTTACGTATTCTTAAATAATTTTTTGATACATTTTAAAAAGTATGTTATATCATTATTTAAAGTGCTAGTTGTATCAAGTATTTTCCCATATGTTCATTTAAAGTAGCTCCCACTGATATATGTAAGGTTGATGAAAAGGTAAGTGTAACTGGGGCCTAAAGTTTTTATTTGCATTTCTTTACAGACTTTAAAGCAAAAAATAATAATAAATTGAAAATAATTTTAGAAACACGTAAGTATTTTAAAATGTGTTCTACATAGCTAACTCGTTATGTAGTATTTCAACCATTTTTATCATTCTTAGGAAATAGTCACATTTTGCTTTAAAGAGAACATTTACATATTTTCTTAAAATACCACACATATTGGTGTAAATTTAAAATATCAATTAAAATAAATAACAATATAAATATACATTGATTCACTTTCAAAATAAATGTTCCGTTAATTAAAGACAAAATATAAACTGTCTATGTAGGTACCAGTCTGAATGATCTCAGTACAGATAATCCCTCCACATTTGACAGGCCGAGCTCCATTAAACTGAGACTGACAATAATGCCATCAAAGATATTCCAGCCCTCTTGGAAATAATAATATGGATCCATGGCAATTATCTTGAGAACCATTTCTGCTGTGAAGATCCCAGTGAAGACCTAAAATGAAGAATTGATGGAAGTTTAGCATTATTTCAGGGGAATATTTTAAGTAGATTTGTTTTATTTTGTGAATCTGAGAGATTTCTAGGAAAATGCTGATTTTAAAACATTTCAATGCCCACATTTTACATTCTATACTAAATAATAGCTACTAAATTGTTAACCTTTTTTGGTATACTGTACTTCTACCATAATCACAATAATTTTTTTTAGTATTATTACATTTGGAACAAATTTATAGGTTACTGGAAGTTACACAAAAATTACTTTAAATTTGGTAAAAACCATATTTTGTTCTTGTTTTTTTAAAGGATATCATCTTATTTCTATGATCTTATAAACATTCCTGAAAGAAGAGTGAGTTTGCCACACATGTTTTATAATAATGATCTCTGGATGCCTCAGAATTAAAGTTAAGTGATTAATAGAGCAAGGAACTGCAGATTTAATTGAAAGCAGCAGGAGAACATCCTCAGTATGCATACATCCATAATTAAGATTAATAAAATTATTTGATCGGATGGACGAATGTCTATTTGACAGTAGAAAGAAAAACAATGAAACAAATTCAAAATTTGTTTTTAACTCAAAACCACGGGCTAAGAGACCCAAGGATATGAAGAATTATGAAATTACTCTTACAAAAAACAATCTTTTAAAACTATTCTTTTAACTATAAGTAAAAGCTTCATTTTATGACTCTAAAGTCAAGCTTACTATTTACCAGGTAAACAGACCTTTACCTTGGAGGAACTCTGTCAGAACAACAGTATCAAAATTACTTGGTTCCCTAAAACATCACTTTAATTAACAAATCTTAATCCACTCTTACTAATATGATAATGCAGCTAACATCTCATTTTTCTAGGCACAGAAAGACCTAAGGGAAATAATATCCATCCAGAAAAATAACTTTAGTTTATCATTTATTCACTCAAATGGAGATAAAATGTATTTCTAGCAAGCCTAGTACATGAAAATCCAGATATATGGTGGAATGCACATTGAAAAATGAATTTTTCATTTTACAAAATGATTCACCATGGGATTTTTTTCTCCTGGTGAATGTAAATAAATTTTGATTTATACAAATTTTATTTCTTATATAAAATTTCAGAAGTACTTACTATTTGAAATAGCCTAATTATAGAAATATATTAGTTAAACTATCCAGGTAAGAGAAACTATCTAGGTAAATGATCTACAAATATCTCTTCCTAATGAATATTATACAACGATCTTTTCAGCTCTTCTGAAATGACTAGGAGATATTCCACATTATAAAAATGTATACCATAAACCTACACCCTTTCATCCAAAATTTAATTCCAACATGACACTTCTCTTTACAAATAACATTTTAATTACAATTTGCAATTTTAAATCACAGCTGTTTATATCTTTAAATGTTTTCAATTTAGGCCCCAAAGATCATTGGGATTGCTTTTTGTACATTTTAGACTAGGATTAGCATTGTCAGTGATTAAAAATTTTTAGAAAATTTTTTTCATTCTACCTAAGGTCAAACAAGCACACTGATTATGATGCCTATATTTACATGATTTTTAAATTCCATCAAAAATGCTAACAACAGAAAGAACTGGCAACCTCTGGATACGTATAGATTATATATATGACACCCATAGATGGTTTATAAACAATGCTAATTTATGGCTTATAAACATACATTCATCCGCCTTTAAATTTTCTGCATTACAAAGAATTTTTAAGACCCAGACAATTAATAAAAAACATTGAATGTTTATTGTTTGGACTTAGACTAATTATATCTTGTCTGCAGCGAAAGCTTGTCTTTTGAAATTTTGGATTATATGCTCCTGCCGCCACTTAGTCATTCACTTATAAAAAATTGCTAAGTACCTAATAAATGGTAGACATTGTGCTAGCTTTGAAAATGCAGTAGTAATTAAGATATACAAACCTGAAATTGCATAAACCTAGTTTATTTAGACCGATATATTTCTTATGGATAGTGAATTTATAGGCTTCCTAAATCAGTTTCTTTAATGAGGTTCAGTGAAAAGTTTCTAATCTATTCTATGTGACGCATACTAACTAGTAAAAATGTAATTACTAAGGATGGGAATGAAAATCAGCTTGTGAGTCTGGATTAAGAGAAAAGAAATTGGGGGCATTTAGAGTTGTTTTGTGGTGCACAGAAATTGGGATGATCAAATGTTAGGGATTAAGGTCTCAACTCAGGGATGGGAAGGTAAAAAGGTTGAATACTATTGAGTATTTAGGAAAGTTCTCTTGGTATACATTTAAAAGATAGAAATGTTCATTCTAAAAGCGGACGTTTTCATATTGATCAGTTTACAGAACCTCTTCTTGTTCAGATTGATGTTCCATTGCTTTGTAGTGAATTTAATGTAACTGTAGCCTTTTGCTCCATTGCTACTAGCCTCTGTTTTAATGGCTATAGTTTTATTATTCCTGTGCCTTTTGGATATATATCTTTAAATATTTGTTGTTGTTGTTGATGATTCTGTTTTGTTTTGCATGAAATTGAAATACAAAGAAAAAAATCGTGGCAAATCATTTGACATTTGTGATTTTCATTTCCTTCATCTGTCAAATGAGGGTATTTACTGAGATGATTAATCAGGTCTATGTCTAAAATTCTTGGACTTCTATCGATATTGTATATTACTTAGCAAATTTTATTCAGAAATTGGTGTACACATGATTATTGTTATACAAGAGCCTCATTAGAAATTGTTAGCTTGGTGATGACAAGGCATTATTATATTATACTAGGAAAGGAGTTAGGTGGCTAAATAGCACTCCATTGATGCCGGAGGCCTTCCAGGTAAATTCTAGAATTTGGTTCCCAGATGTTTTATCGTTCTGTAAATAAGAGTCATTATTTTTCCTTCAAAGAGTTATCATATACCTTTCCTAAAATTTTAAATTAATGTCCTATGGCACACCGTTGAAATTATTAAATTATTAAAATAATTTTGATAATTATGTTTCTTTAGCCTCTATTTCCAATTAGCCTGTAAGATCCTTAGAAGAAGTACTCTCTGTGTTCCCTTCTAGGTCTAGGAGAATAAGGACATATCATGAGCCTTTATCACTGTTTATAAGGAAGAGTTATAGTAAGAAAAGTAACCAGTTTGTATATAAATCTTTGTATTGCCTGAAGAAAGAGTTACAGGTTAGTTGGAAACATCTGTGTGATGAAGAGTTTGTCTAACCTACTATGATTTATTGGAGGATTTCTTGCTTAGAAATCCCTAAGGTGGTGCACGTGCTTTATAATGGTCAAAACAAAATTAAAAAAAAAAAAAAAAAAGAGCATGTTAGAGAAACTCAATTGAGGTTTGAAGTCTCTTGATACTCAAATTTAATCAATCAAATCAACAGAGAAGCGATGTAATTTTTATATGCTCCAGAAACAGGATGCAGAAAGGACACTGACCTAAGTAAAGACAAAGTTATGCAACTCTTTTATGGGTGATTCTTTTGTTATCAATTCAGCTGAGACCTCTAGTATTTATAAGCAGTATGCAGTCATTTGAGCAGTAATAAACTAGTCTATAAAAATTCTAAATTTATTTTAATGAGCAGACTATACACTCCCCACAAAATATGAAATGTATAATATAGTCAAGTTGGCTAAATAACAATGATATAAGGAATAATCTATCTATCTATAAAATATATATTATTTTTATATTTTAGAGGACATATTTAAATACATTATTTTTGATATATAAACATTTATTATAGGTTTTTTATTGGTATCTGAGATATATGAGAATTTAACCTAAAATGTTTTATGGGGAAATAATAATAATAATAATAATAATAATAATAATAATAAAAAAAGAGCTTAGAACCAGTTTATACATTCTCCTATTCTTATGGTTAGGAATAGTTAATTCAAGTCTGGATTAAGCATTATCTACATTCTCCATCTTGATGAGCCTTGTTTCTCCAGTACTAATCTCAATTTACCAACGGTTCTACCAGTCAGTCTTCCACCTCACTTCCTTACCTTATTGTCTTCGTTGCTGCTCATAAAGATATAGAATTTTAGAACCGGGGTTTGGAGGGAGTGCATGAAATGTTATTTAGTCCAAACATTATAATCATGAGAAAACAGACCCAAAGATCTAAGTGACTTTTTCAGGACCACTCAGATATTTAGCATGGACACTTGAACTTGGACCCTGATTTGGTGCTTTAGTCTAGTGCTTTTCCATCTGATTATTCTATAATCCAATCTCCTTTATCCTCTGCTTCCATACTCAATTGCTTCAGCTTTGAAATTCTAATAAAACCGCAATTTCCTGCTTCACTCTGGCAAATTTCCAAAATTTCTTCCTTCATTTGTTCCAACTTCCTTCACACTCCAATATCCTGGGAAAAATACAAGAGCTAGAGCAGAACTATTTTTCATCAGTATTTCAAACAAAGGTTAATAACATATATGAGGAAGGAAATTGTTTATTGAGCACATGCTAGATGCCAAGCATAGTGCTAAGTGTTTTTACATTACCTCATTCAACCTTCACAACAACTCTGGGAGATGGGTATTATTATTCTGTTTCAATAATAGAAAACAAAGACTCAGATGTTTTATCAGAATTGTCCAGATGCTACTTTATTAGTAAGCATTGACAATGAGGCCAAATCTAGTTCTACCTGATTCCAAAGCCCATGTTCTTCAGCAAAACATGCTATCTGAGCAGCCCTTTCGGATAGGAAACAATGAGTTGTTTATTTATTGAGCAGCAACCATGTAAACATTGTTGGAGATATGAAAGAAAAATGGGACATAATCTTAGCCATCAAGTAATTTATAATGGATTTGAAAATCAAGAATTATGATACAATAAAGATACAACAAGGAAGTATTTAATATTCAAACATGTTCTGTTACAGATGCATTTGTAGTTAAGAAAAGAGTGTTCAATTGGGTGAGTGTCATGTTGGAGGAGATGGGGCTAGAGTTGAATTGGAAGACTATGAAGAATTAAATGAGGTGATTTGAGTTGGAATACTCTAAATGTGAATGTAGAGAACAGTGAAATATTTTCCCATATGTAAACATATAAACATTTGTGTGATATTTGTGTAGTATAGTAATAAGGCTGTTCTGATGGGGCTGTTGTTGGCTGATTAGGAAACAATGGACAATAAGATGGTGTAGGAAAAATGGGATCAGATCAAGTGGGAGGAGTCTTGAAAATCAGATAAGAGTGTTGAACCACAAATATGGACAAAAGATGCTTTATCAAAGTAAAAGCATATTGAGTGCGGAGTATTAGAAATATTATTTTAATTGTAGTTATAGGATTGAAAAAGAGATACCCTGAAAGAAGTAATAGGTCTTCATATCAAGTCGTATGTAAGAAATAAAGAAAAAGTAAGTCAAAATGGCTGTAAGATTGAAACTGGAAGGCCACTACTAGAGGTAACAGAAAAGTGAAGTGAGGTTGTTAGGACTTTCAATACATTGTGGGAAAGATAATCTTTCATCTGTCATATATTGTGTTTAAAGTTACCCTTGAGCAATGACCTATAACAGTTGGAAATAAAGGATTGGAACATAGCTTACATCACAAGAGTAGATAATTTCTAGAGTTGTCAAGTACAGGAAAACATTGAGGGGAAAAACAAAGCAGTAAGAGGCATAAGAAGAGAAGTTCAGAAAAAGAGGCAGAGTTAGACTGATCGGAAAGATCAAGGAACAAGCAGAATATAAAGCAATATCACAGGTGCTGAAGATGAAGAAGACCCCAAGAATCTAGTGGAGTTCTATTGAGTCAAATAACGCAGTGAAGTGGAGGCCATTTATTGGGGTAAATGTTTATGAAATTTTATGCAATTGTATGCCCAGTATTCTCTTTCTCCCTTCTGTTGGGGATTGCTCCTCTACCTGTATGATCTTTTAGGAATGCCATGTTTTTCCTATGACTCCACCCTCTGCCAAGGCTGATAGACCAGAGGTGAGCATCTAACCCAAGCTATGGCAAACAGAGTCCTCCTGTCGTGAGAGTCTTTGAACTGGAATTGAAAAAGATGTCCTCTTTTTTTAGTGCGGAAGTTACAAGATGTAAAACCAGTGAGCTATGGCTGAGCATATTTCCTGACCTAGAGACAAAAGATGCAATGAACATTTGGGCTACATCCAAGCTCTTGGTTAAAGCAATTTCCTGCAACCCAACTACAAAATTACCCTTTACATGGTTTGGTAGTTTATCTTTTCTTTCCTTTCCGCAGCCTCTTTTTCTCTCCATCTTAAGCTAGTTTGAGTTTGTGCCACAAAGGAAGGTCTTGATTAATATAAATTATTTTCTTACTTGTTCATCCATTTCAATTTCTTCATATAATTTAGGAGAAAATGTACATGTCACCATACCCATACACAGATACCTGCTCAGGTAATTGGAACCAAAAGAATGGCTAAATTACAAATGCATTTTTACTATTTCATCTCTGTGTGAATCCTACTGAAGCATTTTATTAGGCAATTCAGTTTGAAACCACTATGCCCACTTTGGTACAGAAATCAACCTGTGTGTTCCTTTCAATGGACATGATCTCTTCAGAGACTGTGTGTGTTAAAACTGCATTTTTGTGGAGCGAGATTTAGATCTCATGGTTTCTCTGGACCTATATTTCCAGCAAGAACAATAAAAAATTTAACAAGTGTACCCATGGTAAGACACCATTATCAATCAGCATGGATGGTGGTCTAAATAGTCACCATTCATACTAGTTGAATTTTAGACCTTATCACTGAGATTCCCTGTAACATTCCTTTAGGTATTTCTTTATATGAAGGAAGAGGACGTAATTTTTTTTTCAACACAGCACAGACGGATTTCTTTTTTGTCTATCTCTCCCACTCCTACCCAAGGAAATAAGTAAACTTCAAATGAACTTACCAGGTTTCCTACAGTCAACACACTACTGAACTGACCAGTCATTGGGTAGTGCTCCATGGCCATAAAGAGGGTATTTAAGACAATGCAAATAGTGATGGCAAGATCAACAAATGGATCCATAACAATTAAATTCACCAGATGCTTCACTTTTAACCATGCATCACAGCAGTCCCAGATCAAGAACACATTGGCAAATCTGTACCAGCAAGGTGGACATTTTTGTCTAGATTCTTCAAGTTCTAGTGAAATAATAAAAAAGAAGAGTAGTAAATAACTAAAAATTAGTTATTGTTGCTGTAGATTATATATTATTTGATAAAATTTATGCTTCTACTTGGGGATGGAAGTTCATATAACTTAGCTTAACAAACATGAAAAGTCAATCTCATTAAATATTTTGACAAAATGTTCATTAAAAATGTCATGTAAATAGACTATTCTTTAATTAAATACAGAAAATAAACACTTTGAATTTAATATTTTGCTTTAAGCGTACTTCATTACCTAATAACTTAGGTTAACAGTTGATTAAATTGCTATATTCTCTGTATCATAACAGAATTTTTATATCAGCTTTACACAGATATTAAGTGTATCAAGCAATTATTGTTTCTTTGGAAAGTACCTTTTTGAGAACACTGTCTAAAGCTGTGATCCTTATTAATACGTGTGAGTCATTCTCTCCTCTGATTGTCTCCACATCAGCACTGATCTTGCACACAATGAGAATATATGTCCTTTTTAGTGTAAATTTAGTATAGATTTAGTATAGATCTACTTCTGTTATTCATATTTTCTCATATCTTTCAGAATTTTACCTAATTATAAAAAGTTACTAGTCATTTTAATGGGTGAAACATGTTATAAAATAATTGTGTAACTGTCCAAATACACCAACAGAACAAGATACAAAATGTAATTAATATTTTCTAAAGAACATATATTAGATATGGCATATAATGGACTAATAAAATTACATAGCTAATGTAACATCTCTCTAAAGTTCAAGAAGTGGGGACTTATTTAACGAATGAACAAGGGAGTAATAGTTGCAATCAACTGGCATTGGGTCAGCTCTCCTTTGAAGGAATGTAGTGGTTTCTGTATGAGTGGAATATGGAGGAGAGATCTTTTTTTAGGGTCTCTGTTGAAGTGGAGCACAGATTTTAATTTGTCCAACTTATTTATATGCCTCCTTGAACCCCATCACCACCTCCGGGCCTAGAAAACAGACTAAAATTTGAAGGAAATTTCCTTGTGCTTCTGCATTCCAGCACTTAAAAAGTGTAGTGTTCACTCTAATTGCTTAAGGATAACGTAACATAAATCCTCAGTAATATAATATCAAGTGGCGAAATAACATTCTACATTCAAGATAAGAACCTAAGTCAAAAAGAAATGACAATATTAATTTTCGTAATCAGTGTGAACATAGTGTATTCTATATATCATCTACTTAGGTCTTTTATATAGTTCTGATCCTGGGTAATTGACTGTGGTAATTCTTTAAGAAGAAGGCATAGTTCCATAAAACATATAATCATAGAAAGCTGCTTGTCTCATAGCCTGCTTCTTACCCTCCATTGTGTTGGTCAGGATGCTGGCTATGCTCATGGCTCTTTGCCTTCCAGAGGAATCCTCCAGCATCTCCATTGAAATCTGGTAAGAACTTAGCCTCCTCTTTCTGACTTCCGTTTCAGTGGTGGTGCCCTGCAAACCAAATACTGATGGCTCAAACCACCCTTTTCAATGAATAATACAACACCACATAGCATTTCTTAGGAAAATCATGCTACATGCAGTTTTTCCAAGCAACAATTTTCAAGTAATAAGCATATATTGAATTTATTTTTAAGTTATAAATACTTTTTTAAAGAAATATCACAGAAAATACCCTTTAACAAGAATTCACCAGTTAGATGCAATTGTATAGGGCAATTATAGTGCAGAAGTATTTTAATTAACCTGCTGGAATTTTCAGGGAAAATTTTAATAAGCTTGCTAATGTCATATATTGTTTAATTTCACTCAAATGTAAATTATCTTACAGCTTATTTCAGTGATTACTAATCAGATAAATCTTCCCCCAAAACAAATAATAGGATTATATATTCCCAAGGCTGAATTATTTTCTTTGAGGCTATCTTGATAGTATTGACATATGTGGGTTAAGTATTTTTCCATGCACAAACACAGATGTACAATGAAATGTGTGTGCTTTCCTGAGATTTCTTTAATTATTTCTATATGCATCCTATAAGAAATCAAAACATTTTAGAGTCATTTTAATAGATATCAAAACATTTGAGAGTCACTGTAATATTGACAATTATGTGAAAACTGCCCATTATCTATACTGGTCATTACAATATTTAGTTTTAACTATACAAACTTTCCAGAATATGAATAGATAATTATATACTTCTGAGTGAGCACATCTATAATAATGATTTGGTTGTTAAAGTGTCCAGTATTTGTGTTGGTAGGTCTACCGAATTTGCAGGTATATGTTTCATCCCAGATTCTAAAAACTGGGCTCTTTTAACCTGAAGCATTTGAAAGCTAATGGTTCCATACAATTCAGTTGGTTCTAAAGATTTTATTGTTTTGCATATAATAAATCATATATTATTTTTAAGGACTTCATTTTGGGGAAGCAGGATGGTATAACAGGCTAAACCACCCAGGCCTCGATTATTTCAAATTGGTGTGTAATGTCAGTAGTAGCTAACTTATTATCTATTATCACCTCTGGCAGAAGTTGTCCAGTAGGTGAGGTTAGAGCTGATGGTCCACCCACCAAGGAAACCACACCATTGCAATCCACAGTGCTGTGCATCTTCCCATTTGCTGGAAGCCCTGGCACCATCCTGGATGACATACTGGCCTGACTAACGTTACTGTTGCGTCGCTCTCCGTGTCTGTGGGGCACAAACAGTGAGTCTCTCCTGCTCTCGCTGTCTTCAAATGTACTGTGCTCATCATCAGCAAAGTCATTTTCAGAACCGACATCCTTTGCCCGACCTCTGAAGCTGAAAATGCTTGTTTTGCTGTTGCGTCGTGGGGAAAACAGGGAGCCACGGATACTTAACAGAGACTGAAGAGAGAGCAAGGAAGAAAGTAATGGGGGCACACACGATTGTTTAATAAAAGTCTTAATATTGCAGAATCTATTTGCTTTTGGGTTAGAATAGCCTTGCTCTCAAACAAGAAATTAAGTTTATAAAGAACAAATACGTTTTGATGTTTTTATTATAGATCACAGTGCAAATTTAAGTATAAAGAGTGTTTTCTGATTAAGAATCCTGATTTACAGTTTAAGTGCACGGCCACTTCATTTAATGTTCACACTAATACTGTGAGATGGATTTTGTTCTCATAATAATATGGGTGTGGAACTTGATGCTGGAGAGGACAAATGATTCTTTTTGGTGGGAGTGGTGGTTAAACAGTAGGTGGTTTTTGCTCTCAAATGCTATGATCTGAAAAGCATGCAACTTGGAAAATAAGGTATGGCTCAAGAGAGACTGTTGGCTCAAATTTACAATATTTGTAGCAAATATTTTACTTCTGGATAATGTTTTAAAAACAAAACCATTATCTCTCTATTTGCTTCTTTTGGATTCTAAAAGGAAATTATTCTTTGTCTGGACCACTATCTACATGGATATAAAAGTCTCAAAAATCTTCCAGATTTGCTAACAGTTTCCCAAATGGCTACTAATTATTCATATGATCTGAGAGAATATATATCATAGCACTGACAACAGAGAGACTAAACTGCTGTATGTATTACTATTCTTATTTAACATTTAACACTAGCTTTAAAAAGCAAGACACATATACCTGACTTTCCTAAAGGTGATATGGAAAACAACTTATACTTCTGAACTCACTTTAATTTTATTAAAAAGAACCAGATAATTCAAAAATTTTTTGTATTACATATATTCATAGATAAATCAATTAAATACTTTCTGGTAGAAGAAAATGAGAATTTGGCATGAAGACCCTTTCACTTTTTGGATAGATTTTAAACTAGCAGCACCAAATAATTATGTTTATTCTAGCCTTGATGATAGTTTTCAAAAACACCTTTATTCAATCCGCAGAATCTTTGTTTACTTTCATCCTTGTTAACGGTGACATTCTCTGTTGCTCCCCCTGCTCTGTCCCTTATGACCTTTCCTACCTCTCTGCATAGCCAGGGCAGTATGTATACATAAATACACATACATATTCATACATAGCCATATGCCAGCATAAATCTGCCTGTACTTTCCCTTTCCTTCTCCGAGCTTCAGTATAAAACCAAATAAAATAATTTTAGTGGAAAAAAACATAGGAAAGGCAGACTCCATCCAATTTATTTTTGGTCCCTTTGCCTAATTAGGTCATGCTGATTTTCTTAGGCCCCCATTTGTTCTTTATTTTTATGGCTTTTCCCAGACTGCAAAGCACTAGAATAATCTTTATTGCCCTCTGTCTCAGTGATGTCCTTGGAAAGATATTTCTCATTAAGAAATGTGCCGTTGTTTTGGATTTGGTTAGGATATCCAAAGGAATTACTGACTGCCTAGTTTGTCCAATCTGCAACTATGTCTACGTGGCACACAGTTTGAACAGCAGGTTTGTCTTCCCAATGTCAGATAGTAGTTAAACTGATTTTCCAGTCATCAGACTGATCAAGAAATTAGACGTTGTGAAGACATTAGTTCAGCCCCCTATAATAGAGAATGTTAATGTTTTTAAATCTCTTCAGACTCAATATAAATTATCAGTATAATATTGGTTATGTTCAGACTTGCCTCTGAAACTCTAGTGTGTATTTTTAGGTCTTTGCTTTTTGGAATTGGGATTCAGTATGTAGGGGTTAGGACTCTGGAATCTGAACATTCACCACACATTCCAGGTGCTTCTGTACAAATGGACCTCACCCTACACTCAGAGGAATACTAAATTTGTCTCACATTAATCCCTAGGATGGTTCAGTGTAATCATCTTAATATGCTTTTGTTCAGAGACTGCTTTGGAGACTGAAACTCTTGTCTACATGATATTTGATTGGGAGTAAATAGTATATGGTACGTCCATAATATATCTTGTGCATGCCTTTAATTTGCATATTTTTATGTCAGGGTGTTTTCAAAGGCGGTCCAGATCTTTGAGTTTATTTGAAACTTCACTCTTTGGAAAGTATAATAATGGGTGTGAGCACACAAGGCAATAAAGGCTGAAAAAGAAGATAACAAAAATAGTATTCAGAGAAAATAAACCAAAAATAACACACTAGAAGATGCAGCAGAGTGGTGGGAATGCCCACAGCTGCGGCAGTCCTTTCTCTAGGAAAAACAGGCTTTTAAGTTTTAAGGACCAAAGGGTCATCTTTCTTTGACTCAGGCATGCCAAAACATAAATCCCATTTTTTTTTGTTTTTTGTTCTGCCTTGTTCCAAGAAGGTAAATCTGAACTTTTTTTTTTTTTTTTTAATTTTCAATAACAAAAGAGAAAATGGAAGAAACTAGGTGTATAAAACACAATCTTGCATGTAGGGATTGAACTCAAAGTGAATTGAGAAAACTCAAGATGGAAGATGATGCAGGGAATTTGAGGATGTTCTAGTAGAGGTATGTAACGTGAGTATTAGTTAGAAATACCTACTTAATAGCATTTTAAGTTAAATGTATGTCCCTTATCAATGTTTTCAATTAGTCAACGATTAAACTTTGTTCTAGCTACAAAGATTCTGGTTTAAAATAAATTGTCTCAGTGTGTCCAAACAACATAGATGATGTCTCTGGGGGAGATTTACTTTCCATTGTACTCTCTAAAACACGTTTTCCATTTTGTACTATGAATATGTATATCTATTTAAGAATAAAGTAATGTAATAAATGTAGAATGCATTTAAAATGTATGATAGTAGAGGGTAGGGTGCCCTTACTTTATGGCTTCTCTGCTTTGACATTTTCAGAAGATTTGTTTGTTTTGAACAGTATGCTTTGTCTAATGCTTCATGTTTCCACTACCTTCACTGATTCTCTTTCCCATCAGAGAGAGTTCTTTTTTGTTCACAAAACTAGAAATTGTAAACTACTTCTGGCATGGTTTTGCTTGTGAGTTGTGTTAATCTTCTCTGCCTCTGTTTACTGGGGCATGTAAATATCAGCGCTAATAGGCTTTTTCTTTTTCTTTTGAAATATCTACTCTCTATCTATATATTAATAATCTATCTACCTAATTATCTACTCATTTCACTATCTACAAATATAAAATATATACGTGTGTATGCATTTATATAAATATATATATGAATATATATATATATATTTAAATATATAGATATATATATTCACACTGATTCTCTTTTAAGTAGTCAAATTGGCTGTCAGTTAACTTCCCTCTGCTATTGCCTCTCCATGGTTCACTCAACACAGGCCCCTCTTTGAGCATTCCAATCACACTGTTGCATCAGATACTTGACACTTGCTCTTTCGTGAGCCGGGAATGCTCTTCCATGCTCCTTCTTCCCTCACCACCTCTAAGTCATTGCTAAGATGTCTCCTTTGCAGTGAGATTTTCCCAAACCACCTTATTTAAAATGTTTACCTTCCGTTAGCATGCCTGATGACTCTTTCATGCTTTATTTTTTCCCATAACACTTATCACCTTCTAACATTGTCTATAACTTGTTTATTCTCTGTCTCCCCCTTTAATATAAAATTCCATGAGGTCAGTGAATTGTATCTCTCTTGTTCATTGAAGCATTTTCAGCATCTAGAACTATTTCTGCTACATAGTAGGTGATCAAAAAATATCTGTTTATAGGCTGAATGAAGCATTCTACAAGTTTTTATTTGAGCATAATGATGAAACAATTGTGGACAGGCATTATTTTCAAAACCACGTAAATATGTTAATGTAAATATTGCTATTATGCCTGTACATTTGTGAGTAGATGAAAGTACTCAAATTTTTAGTTTCTCTCATGTGGAATTCATTTACCCATTTTAACTTAAGAGCTTTACAATTTGTCACATAAGTATTCCATATATTGCTTAATTTTCCATGACTCTTTAAAGAAACATTATTACCCCATTTTATAGAAATCTTACAAAGTACAAGTGACTCAATCAAGGTCACAGAATTGATTTGGATTTGAGATACGGACACCAGCTTTTGTGAAATTGATCATTATGCTCTGATGTCATGTCAAATACTACTAATTCCAATGACTCCTAATATTCTTAATAATATTAAAATATCAAGGGTGTCAGTTTAAGCCAAAAAATTCTGATCCGAGAAACTGACTTTCCCTATAGAGCGTCATGTTAACCCCAAACATGATAATACTGATCTACTACCATACTTTCTATTTGTATTATGCAAGATAGTATTTGGATCTCTTGATACCAACATTGTCTGTGGGAAGATGGCTTTTATGTTATAACTTTTTGTGTGCGCATAACTATTTTGTCCTAATATGAGAATTCAAGTTATGACTTATTGAGTTTATTTCATTTTAAAAAATTATTTACACATTCAATATAAATTATAAAACAAACACCTATTCATAACATACGCGCCTTTTCTTCCCAACCAAGCACTAAACACTATTCTGAACTTCGTGCTTATCTCTCTAATTTTTTAAAAAGATTTTATTGTTTATAAGAAGGCTATCATAGCCCTTGGTTGATGTACAGGTTTTTGCTCTAATTTAATTATATAGAGTGTCCCTCAAAGCATTATCTTTAGGATATAATTCTAACCCAGATTAATATAATTAGAAGAGTTAATAATTCATAGCACATGAAATTTTAATAGAACCAGTGTTCAAAGTCATAACTGTACTTATCATGGATTTCATAACTATTTACTCTTTTACATTAGGCAACAGATAAAACTTATTAACATACAAAAAGTTGAAACTATTTTTACTCTTTGACTTGAAAATATGCTGAAGAATTGGTTAGTTTACATGAAATCAGAACAAAAATAGACTGTCTTCAATTTAGGTCTCTTCAAGAGCATTTAGGTCATAATTTCATTCTAATGTATCATAGCATGACACTAACCATATCAAGATAACAGAGACTCATTAAAAGTATAGTTTTCATATCAAAAGATATAGGCAAAATCGAGACATTTCTTTTCAAGATTCATACCTATGTTGCAATCAGAACCACAGATAATCATGGCAGAAACCCAGATGCAAAGATAAGTTCATTTGAGGTCTCAGAATGGAAAAGGTAACCAAGAGATTGAAAAACTGTTTCCCTGAAGAGAAAAGTCTGATTGATAGATTTTACCCCCACCCCCAAAGCGGATAAAGAAACATGGTCTCAAAATAGTGCAACATATAAAGCTGATTACCTTAAATTAAAACTTATGAATGGTTTAATAAAAGTCTTATTTAAAGACAGTTCATGATATGGAATTAACTATATTAAATGTTAGTTATCTTTCCCTCATTTAAATCAGCTATTACAAAAACAAAATACAGCAATTGAAAAGCAATAGCAATGACAAAACAAATTGGAGCACTCAGTAGAAAACTGTACCTGATGAGGGGAGTAGAACTTCTTGTCACTAGTCAGTCGGTTTCCATCCATGGAGAAAAGGAAGCTTCTTCTTTTGACACTGTCTTCAGATTCAGATTTGGGGAACCTTTCTCCCTCTCCTTTGTTGTTTCCTTCAAGATGCTCCCTCTGTCTTCTTTTCTTCCTTCGGTTCCTCCACTCCTTAGCACTTTTGGAGCTTAACTTTGATGCTTCTGAAGAACTTTCCAAGAGCTCTCCTAAGCCACCTATTCCACTGAAATCTCTTGAAGCAGCTGATGCTGCCGCAACTGCCTGTTTAAAACAAGGCAAGGCTCTGTTTAGAACACATAACTTTGAAAAGAGTTTACTATGGTACAGTTGTTGCCATTTATGACTATTGACTATATGGAAAAGTTAGTCTTCTGGTTATTTCATTCTGCTTTACTACAAGAGAGTTCACTTAATAATGATGCAGTTTTAAATAGTATAAAGCAATATGTTAGCCTATGCATTAAAGCAAGGAAAGTCTGGCTTGGAACATCTCCTGGAGAGCCCCCGCTTTAAAAAAAAAATGCTGTTGAGATTAATTTTATTTCAGGAGACAATTGCTCTCATAAAAAATGTCTTCTACAATTTAAAAGCAAATCTTCTTTTAGTAGTGGTTCTGGTCTGATTACTATTTCAATTTCATGCATAGGCTTATTCCTCCCACATGTGACAGTGAACAACAGTCGTATTTTTTCCTTCAAAATCTAGGACAAGAGACTTTTTCTTTTCTTCTCTTTTTTGTGAACTCAAAGCATTAAAAATGTTTCCTATTTTATTTCTAGATAGACACAGTAGGGATGTGTTGGCTAGTTTATCCTCTTCATTTGAATTACATTTATTACTATATTTCACATCCTTGGGGTCCTGTTAATCCCAGAGATTAATATGATTAATTTATTATATAACATTTCTAGTTTAAATTTTTTAATGTTTATAAATTATTTATTATTATAAATAATAACGGATTATTAACATATCAATCAATAAGTACCTGAAATAATCATTCAAGGGATGATGAGAACTTCTTCAAGTATTTTCTTTCCATATTTCAGCATTAAGTTATACTAAAGCATTTTGAATTTCTGTACATACTAAAGAAGCATAGCCAGCTCTGAGGTGAAACATGGCAAATGTTTTACATTTTCACTTATATGAATAGTATTTTTAGACTGGAAATGATCTCACCATGACAAGAGAGGATATGAAACAACAGTATAGTGCATATCAAAGCTGCGTTCTCATTAAGTATATTCCTGTTTTTGAACATAATCAAGGAAGAAGAAATGATTAAATTATGAGACTGTTGGTTCAACTATTTATATATGTCATTACTAAGTACCAACAACTCATAATTTATCTACCATTCTGTTCTATCTTCTCTACTAGACTATATCATATAGGAATTTTGTCATGTTTTTGTGCGCATTGCCAATAAGTCACCTGACATAAAAAGGACTCAGTTACTATTTGGTGAATAAAGATGAAAAAAGGCATCATGCGGTCAATTGTTTTAGACACTGAGGTGAGTTGGGGGAAGAACAAGACAGACTTAGACTTGGCTTTTCAAGAACTCATAAAAGACTATGTTAGAATGATCTATATAACAGAAATATATTTTAGGAAAGAATGAAGACAAAATCCATTTATAATGCTATGACAACATGTTGTGCTTTATGTTTCTTCCTTCCCAAGGGAAAGCAAACCCTCCTAAATAGCTTCCATTTGTGAATCTCATCTCAACTAAAACAATAAAGAACAACACAAATTCTCTAGTATTAACATGACCCTAGAGATGGGAACCATAGTACTACATATAATGCTACATATAATACATATAATGCTACATAGTACTACATATAATATATGTATTGAGCTAAGCAACACATAAAATGTAACACAGGTGTTTGTTTATACTGAATAGTATATTCATTATGGAAATCAAGATCTAAAACTCAGTATAAGACAAACCTAGCATTTAAATGAAACATTAATTCAGAATTTGGATATTTACAGAATTGCATATAGTCAGATAGCCATATTTTTTATTGATTTCTTAATCAGTATTCTAATATCAGTGATGAAATATGAGAAATATTAGAAGCCCTTTTTAAATATGAATGTTTAATATAAGTATGTGCAAAATAAATAAATGAAGCACTTATCTGTAACAAGTTAAATATAGTTGCATAGTGCTTGATACATAAGAGATAAATAATATACACCATTTATTTGAAAGAATGAATATACATATAATTCCTTTTTTTTTTCAAATAAAGTCCTTTAATTGACCTTTCCATTTTGTATAGACAGAAACATGCAACACACAATGTTAATCATTTACTGACTTACTTGTCATTAGAAACAAAGGAAGTGGTGGTAATTTTCTTTTGCTGTAATCCTGAAACCCATGGTCATTTAAATCACTTCCGGAACTTGTTTTGCATAAGACATGATTTCCCTACCTATTCTGGATAACAGTTCAAATAACTGAAAACCAAAACAGATTTCTGAGGCAACAATGGTAACCTCTCGACACAACACATTTTCTATGTCACTCATCAACTCAAATCTGTCACTTGTTCCACTTCCAGTGATTTGACAGTCCCTCAAAGGCAGATGTTTCCTGTCACCTCCCATATCTGTGTACCTGTTTATACCTAGTTCTGCGACATGGTCAGTGTCCTGCTCGTTTAGACTAATAGTGTTATTTTCACAACTGACTTGCTGAATTCTTCTTGTAACAAATAGGTCCTTAATATTTACACAAATAATAACATTTTTCTCTTCTTATAACATTGCCGCGTGACTCAAAATAGACTAGAACTCACCGTATTTGTGTTTTTTAAAAAATAAAACCACTTGACTACCTGTGATTATATTTCATTTTCATTTCACTACTCTGTATTTACACTTCATTTTAAACATCAAACCCAGTTTAAAAATCCCATTCAAAACTGTAAAGACTTTAACTGTATCTCTTTCAATTCTACTCCTAATTATATTAGGTCTCTTAAATACCTCTATTTCTAATTTTGTCCTAAAGTTTACTCTTAATTTTTCCCATCAAATCACTACACACTGCTATGGTATATGCTATGCTGGGCATTATTAGACATTTAAAAATCACACAATTACGATGCTAGACACAATTACGATGATCTAGGACAAAACATTTATCAGGTGTGCCTTTCTCTGTCTTTTAAAGTTGCACTTGATTTGAGTCCACTGAACTAGGAGGTCTCTCAAAAGATACAAAAAAAAAAAAAAAAAGCAAGTTATGCTAAGTTTCATGAAATTATTGATTAGTAACTTTTGAAGAGTCACAGGTGGTTAGCAAGAATCAAGTTATACTGGAACATCAGTCATCTCACGGGTAGACTAAGTCTCCTTCTCTCTCTGTCTCCAACTCCCTCCTCACCTTCAACATAGGGTATTTATTGGTTATTGTTACCTGTATTGTCAATAAGGAACTGAAATTGATTGGATGCTGTGCTATCCCAGTTGGTACAAAAACACTGGGATCAGCTTAAATTTTTGTACATATGAAGCTAAAGGTGAGTCAAATAATGATTTGATTAGTAGAATCCAATAACTGACTTTTAAATGAAAAGAACTAACATATTTTAGCTGGCCTAATAAAGATGTAGATAATTAGGTTTCTTACACCTCTATTAGACATAGTGCACTTTTACTTCTAAATTAAAAAAGATGACATATTATTTTAATTGATGCCATATTGTACCTGCAGTGGTTGAATTTCAGAATACATTCTTACTCTTGTACTGTGTCTGTGTAGCATTTTCAAACACATCACTGTCTGTTTTTATAAACAATAATAGAATAATTCAAAGTTTTAAAACACAATTATATGCAATCTATAAATATTTCTTCTAACATTTATTTAAAACTTTGCAATAAAGATTTTGCCCTATAAATAGCTATTTTATTTCTTTATCTTACAAATGTGTTTTAATTATAGTGATCTGAAATAAACTCTTAAATATTTGAAATATAGTATAACTTTCTGGCAAGCATGAGGTATACTTATAAGATTTTTAAGTATCACCAAATTTGTTTATAGCTTTCCTTCTAAAGTCAATAAAATATAACCATGTTACTATTCTGTACCCTGTGGTAAGATGAAAATAGTAAAGCCAGCGTGTTCAGCAAATACTAAGTATATAATTGGGTTGGGTAACCATCTAACCAATTTATTGTCAACTATCTGTCTCATCAAAATGGCTCAAAAAAGGATCTAATGGTTTATGTGATGTATTTTCAAAGTAACTCATTAACATTTAAATTTTGATGTATTTTCAAAGTAACTCATTAACATTTGAAATTTGAACCTACAAATGCCATTCAAATATACTGTCATTCAAATAATTCTTCAAATATCTGGAACCATTTATCTGGAAAAAAAAAATCACTATATATCAAAATGGCACCATGTACAAAAGTTATTTTGGACTTCTGTTTCTGTACAAGAAATAGTAACAGGGATCGGATTTCCTCTCCCTCCTGAAGTAACCAGTAAAACAGACAGAATACATGTAGCAGTTGTTTTAAAGACACTGATGAATAAGACATTGTGTAGAGTATTTAGAAGGATCTTCACTTAATAGTAGGAAATAATTAGCCTTAGTTTAAATTCTACCCTAGTCCTAGCTAACAAATCTTCAAAGGTTTGAAGATGCAAATGGATCAAACTATTTATAAGTAATGTAACTATGTCCCCAAACAAGGATCAAGAATTTTCATAGGAATACAAAAATATTCAGCACCTAAAAAGGTAAAATTAATAGCGTCTGGAATTCAACTGAAGATTGTTGGGAATGCAAAAAAAAAAAAAAAATCAGGAATATATGACAAACAATGAAGAAAATAATTAAAACTAAGATCTGACACAGATGTTAGAATTAACAGAGGAGGACTTTAAACACTTATTATAACTGTATTGTGTATATTCATAATGTTAGAAATAAAAGAGATATAAAGGCGATGCAAATCAAGCTTTTAGAGATGAAAACTAAAATGTCTGAGATGAAAAATACAGTCGACGTTATTAATGGAAGATAGGACATTGCAGGAGGAAAGATAATAAACTTGAAGATTTAGCAATAGAAACTATTCAAGCTGAAATCAACAAGCTGATTATGAAACTCATATGAAACTACAGAAGATATAGAACAGTCAAAATGGCTTTGGAAAAGAAAAAGTTGGAGAACTACCACTATCTGATTTCGAGACTTATTAAATACCTACAGTAAATAAGAGTGTGATATTGGTGTAAAGAGATACAAATAGATCACTTTAAAAGAATAGAATCCAGAAATAGACCCATTCACATATAGACAACTGATTTTTTTACGACGTTCAAAGGCAATTTAGTGGAAAAAGGATATTTTGTTCAACAAATAGTGCTGGAATAATTAGATAGTTATATACAGAAAAACCTCAATGTAAATCATATTTTATACAAAAGTTAATTTAAAGTGGGTCATTGACCTAAATATAAAACACAAAACTATAAAATTTTTAAAAGGAAAAAATAGGAGAACATCTTCATGATGTTGACTAGGCATAAATTTCTTAGATACAGCACCAAAGGCATGATCAAACAGACAAAGAAAAAAACTTGATAAACTACTTCATCAAAATTTTTTTTATCTTAATACTGCTAGAAGAATAAAAGACAAGTTACAGTCTGGGAGAAAATATTTGCAAAGCATATATATAACAAAGGACTAAAAGATAAAGAATACTCAGAATTCAATAATAAGAAAACAAACAACCCAGGTAATATAATATGCAAAAGATTTGAATATCCACTTCACAATAGAAGCTATGCATATAGAAAACAAGAACATGAAAAGATACTCAACATCATTAGTCATTAAGAAAATGCAAAACAAAACAGCAATGAGATACTTGATAGAATGGTTAATAAAATTAACCATACCAAATATTGGCAAAGATGTATTTGAGGCAATGTAATTCTCTCTGACATGAATTAGATCTCACTATGTCTTCTCGTGATTTCCACCTTTGAAATTATGTTTTTTTTTTTCTTTTTAATCTGTTATTCTGTCTTTTCTCATCAAGACATAAAACCCCATTCACCATGCCTCTAGTCCAAACAGCCTTTAATATTAATTTAAAGTTAGAATCCAATAGCAGATGCCTTTCTGATATCTTGATAGGGGCTGTAGCAAACAGCTTCATGCTACAAAAACCCCAAAGAATGCTTAAAATTTGATATACATAAAGTTTTCTTGTTAACATTTGAGATTAATTCACTCCAGAATAAAACCTCAAAAGTTATAATTAAGAATGAAACCCAATTGTTGGAAATAACAGTTATGTATCTTCTTCACATTAAACTGAAAATCAGATTCTCCCCTAAGGGTTCATAAGAAAATTGCATAGTTAACCTTCTCCCAAATGTGTTTTCTACTTCCAGCTTATTTTCTTACATATAATTTCTAAAAAGTTCCTTTACTCTAACTTCAGAAACAATTTGAATAGCTTTCTCTTTTCTAATAAGAATGTCTGCATACCAAATGAAAAGCCAGTTCCATTTTGGCATCTATGATACAAAAATATTGCTACTTAAAACTTAATAACAGTGATAACAACAACAATAATAAAGCTTTGCTTATTACCAGTACCTGAGCTTCTTCCTGTTGCTTTTTGAGTTGTTCAAGCATTTGCTGAAATTCAGCCTCTTTCTGTTCTGCCTCTTCCAAGGTGGCCTGATTCTGTTCCTCATAGGCCATGGCTACCACTGCCAGGATCAAATTCACCAAATAAAAAGAGCCCAAGAAAATCACCAAGACAAAAAATATCATGTATGTTTTTCCAGCAGCACGTAACGTCTAAGGTAGAGAAAAAGGATCATTTCATCAATATTTTATACAATGTCAATAAAGATATGATTACCATAATTAGATAGGAGATGAGAGCTTTTAAGCATTCAGTTTATTTTGATCAAGATTTTTTTGTTGTTAAAATGCATGTGCACACACTAATTAAATTATCTGAGGCTTGACTGTAGTGTTATTTATATAAACACACACATTTCAAATCAGTATATATTTGATATTATTTGAGCCCTACGAAGATGCCTTTTTTAGAGTCCATAATGCAGGACAATACTATAAGTGAGAACATTATTTTAGTTCCTTTCAGTGAAGTTCCACTTCTATTGCAGCCTATTCTCCACACTGTCTAGAGATAATATCTTTCTTCCCCCTCTTCTAACTCTAATTAATCATAAGTTTAATTAAAACATTTTATATAATTGATTTTTAAAATCTTTTCACATGTTCTTTTTACATCCACAGCTAAATTATAAATTCAAAGTCATGAACATTCTTTGCATCCTCCATAGACCCTAGTAGAATGCCTTTCATATAAGAAGCTCTCAATACGCATGTACTAACTGAATGAACAACTGGGATCCTAGGTACACTTGCTTGATATAGGACCCTCCTCTGTATTCTAGAGTGTTATAAACAAGTATTCATATTTGGTCATTCCATATATGTTTATAAACTTAAGTCCCATGTATGTTAATTTGAACTTTATTTCTATGTCTTGAGTGCTGTGTCCCCTAAAATTCATATGTTGAAATTCTAAAGTCCAATGTGGTAGTATTAGAAAGTGGGGTTTTTGGTAGGTGCTCTCTACTCCTTTCTACCAGGTGATGACACAGTGAGAAGTTGTCAGTTATGAACCAGAAAGAGGCTCTTGCCAGTATGCAAACATGTTAGTGTCTTGGTTTTCCACTTCCTAGCCTCCAGGTCTATAAGCAATAAATTTCTGTTATTTATAAGCTACCCAGCTGTGGTATTTTGTTATAGCAGCCCAAATGGACTATGACACTTACCAACTGGTAAAGGTTCTCCCAGTAGTCTTGAGTCATGAGTCGAAACAGAGACAAAAAAGCCCAGCTAAAGGTGTCGAAGCTTGTGTAGCCATAGTTGGGATTTCGGCCAGCTTTCACACAGATGTATCCTTCTGGACACTGGCTGTAAGAGAGAAATGGAGCTGGAGTAAGCAGAGCAATTATTGTTATTTCAATCAATGTTGATTTATAAGAATTATCAAAACCCAGAGTTGCTGTCTGTGATGAATTTCCTTGTCCTTCATTTCCAGAACACTTTAGATAATTGCTCACAGTGAAACTGTTAGCTGATGAAATTTATTAGGAAAACAAACAGAAAATCTAGGTGCAAAGGAGTCAGATTTATAGACATCTAGAATGGCAGAGAGGCAGCAACTGCATACTTTTGTCTCTGACATCATCAATATCCTGCTCTTTACAAAGTGGCAAGAATCAACAATTAAAAATGAAAAGCCAGAAAACAGCCAGAGAGTAGGGAACCACTTAATGAGCTACTTCATTAACCACTTCTGTAGAATTTTCTAATATAAAATTTATGTTTTAGAACAATTTTAGATTTACAGAAAAATTACAAAGACAGTACAGACTTCTCATATATCTCATGCCCAGTTTTCCATATTATTAACATCTTTTGTCATTGTGGTACATTTCAATCAATATCGATACATCATTATTAACCAGAGTCCATACTTTATTCATATTTCTTCAGTTTTTCTACGACATCCTTTTTATGTTCTAAGATTGCATCCAGGATACCACATTATATTTAGTCATTATGTCTCTTTAGGCTCCACTTGGCTGTGACAGTTTCTCAGACTTTCCTTGTGTTTGATTACCTTGACTGCTTTGAGGAGTACTAGTCAGGTATTTTGAAGAATGTCCTTTAACTGGTATTTTTTTTAACTTAAAAAAAATTATTTATTTAAAATAGCTTCAAGTATACAGTACATTGGTTAGACATCCATATAGTTCATAAAATGATCCCCCCAATTGCTCCGTCCCTCCCCTGGCCCTCTACCGAGCCATCACATTAATGCTAACTGCATTCCTTCTGCCATGCTCCCCATCTCCGTGACCAACTATCAACTACTAATTTGTACTTCTTTAACCCTTCGCCCCATTCTTCTAGATCCCAACACCCCTGCCCTCTGTCCGTCATCAAATTGTCTACTATATGTGTGAGTCTGTTTTTGATTAGTTTTTTTCTTTTTGTTCCTTAGATTCCACATGTAAGTGAAATCATATGGTATTTATCTTTCTCTGTCTGACTTATTTCACTCAGCTTAATAACCTCTAGGTCCATCCATGTCATTGCAAATGGTAAGAT